CGAACTCCTCTGTCTCTTCTAACGACTCGGCTGTCCAGATCCTATCGACCAACTTTCCAACATCTTTACATGGATATTTAAATTTCCATTTACTGTCGAACATTACAATCTTAATAAAATACATTACAAATAGTTTAGTGAGAACTGATATTCATAAAAAAGATATAATATTTGTTTAAATCTGAGATGTCTCATTTCTAAATTAAGATATTTACGTATAAATGGAATTATTTTAACTTGGAAATAGCCATCTGGATGTTTTACCCCAACGATTAAAAATGTAAATTGTTGTAAAATATTTTTTGTGTGAATATTATTTAATACATAACATATTTTCTTTCTTTTTTAATAACTATTCTTTACGAACTTTCAAATATAATATAAACACGCAATAAAAAAACATTATATTATATTAATTAAAATCTTCATTTTTTAGAAGTATCGTCATAATGTAAGTTACAAAAACTTATTTCGTTTAATATTTATTTAATTTCTATTTACTTTTTTTAGAAAATTTTGTATGTGCTCGCGCGAGCGCGCGTGTGTGTATGTGTATGTGTGTGATTAAATTTATATCCGTAATGTTCTCAAATATTAATAATAAATCGATAAACGGTTGATAATATACAATATTAATAATAGTAATTTTAATTAGGATGTAAAAATAGAGACTGGGTTAGCACAAGAGGCAAATTAGTATCGCGTTCAGTTTATGTATTTACGATGGAAGAAACAATAGAAAAGCTAAATATTTGAAAAACCGTTAATACGTCGTACGTGGTTATCGGAGCATAAAAATGGAAAAGAGTTGCTGCAAAATATCTGTTTTATAACATAAATACTTTTCCCTAAATTTTATTTAAACCAAAAAACAAGTATTACAATAGAAAAATATGAAAAATCTGTATTTAAGAGGAAACAAATAAATTATTCAACGTTTTATAATTTCACATTAATGTTCTTCGATTTGAAAAAGTAAATCTAAATGTATTATTAGTTAAAGAAAAATGTCTAAATCAATTTTTAAAAAAAACCCCCCCCCCCCCCTATGGAAGCCTCAAAAATATTTTAAAAAATGTCTGCTATTATATGACAATATTTTGACAGTTTTCAATTAATAACAGTGATTTGTAATAATAAAATGAGTAAGATTTGGATGAGCTATGTTAGATATTTTTAGGGAAAGGTTGACTTACTGCGTGTGAACATTCAATTACAACTTAACCGTCATAAAAAACGCTTTATATTTAATATTTCTATTTTAAAATAACCTAGAAATAAAATAATTTATATTTATTTTTTTTATAATACATTTTGTTATTTGACTATTACAAAATAATTTTAAAAAGTACAATTTTTACTGAAAAGTACATGTTTACTACCTATTTTTCATTTTTATTATGTTTTTATTTTATTAATTTAATATAAAGTTTATAGAGGCAATTTACATCGTAATATATATCAATTTACCCCAAGGAGGCAAGTTAGCTACAATGCAACATATTCGTATTATAGGTACTTACTACAAAAAAATTTGTATACAGTACAGAATCTGCCATGAAAATTTTTTATCATATTAATACATTTTAATTGTAAAAATTATAACTACGTTATTTTAACTTAATTCTATCTGTAAATAAATTTGTTTACAAATTTTCAGTTTATTAAGATCTCTTTAACAGATGCCTATTGAGCTTCAAAATTCAATTGTGATATTATCTCTGTAGTTTAACTCTCTGCATTTTTAAAGCCAAAAAAATTAATTTGACAGTTATTTGGCAGTTAAGATAACTACACAGTTAAGATAACTACAAATATGATATATATACATGCATTGTACATATAGTAAATACAAATTCACATTGAATTCTTTAAGCATTAAAGATCCAGCTTTAATCAACTCATGGGCCTTTATTTTCCATTCCTATTGATTATGTTTTTATACGATTCAATAAAATTATTGTTCGTACGGTGAATAAATTTATATTAATAGTATATAAATGTTAAAATTCAGAAAAGAAAACGGTTCAATAATTTAAAATGACAAACAGATTAAATAATATAAAATGATCACTCAGGATGTTATGTGAATAAAATTTTTTTATAAACAATTAAAATTTATATACACAATAATATTCGAACAGATTTCGACACCTATTCGGGTCATTCTCAATGATAAATCAAAATTTAAAATGTTACCAGTGGTACAAGATATTCGCAAGTTAATCATACAATAAACGCATATAATATTGTATATAAATTTTGATTGTTTATAAAAAAATTACTCATATAACATGAATTGGCTATGAACCTGAGGTTCATAGCCCCATTTTATATTATATAAATATTAATTATTGTAGTTTAAAGTTAATTAATATTAAATAAAGACTTATATAGATAAATAATCATCGACTTTAACTTTTCCCTTAAGAATTCGCAATTCTCTCAATCTCCCTTATCATCAAAATCATTAAAAACATGTAATAGTATTTTCTTTAAACGATTCTATGATCACGTGTTATAGTATACGGCACTAAACGTATATTGGACTATCATTGGATGCGAACAATGAGAAGTTATTGCACTACTCTAATATACTATAGTATATAATAGTATATAATAGTATATCATTCGCATTTATTTCATGTTCGCAATTCCTCCATTCTCCCATATTTTTAGAAATAATACGTTGAGCTTTCTCTTAAACATTAGACAATTTCTCATACAGCCTACGTAACTCTCAAATTTCTCACAAAAATTTTTCACAAAATTCTCGCAGCATTATTAAATTTCTGATCTCGAATTAAACATCAAACGAAATTCTTCTTTGAATTATAAATGAAGATGAGAAAAAACCCTTGAACGTCCCTGAACGTGCTTTGCGAGGTGCTCTGTCTGATCAGAACCTATCAGTAACTACATAGAGAGAAGATCTTAAGGATAAACGCTGTTGGATGTCATTTCTAGGTCAACGTATCTGAAAAGCCAACGAAATTGAACTCCTCCCTTTCTCGCCACCTCTTTGCGACGCCAACTGTTTTGCCTTTTCGATGAAAAATTATTCGTCAACGAGATAGAGTGCAAGAGACAGAAGGGGGGCACGAGCAAAGTGTTGGAAAACGAGAATGGGAGAGCAAGAAAGGTTATTTGGAGATTGTGTCAGTCAATATGCTGTCATTGAACACTTGAACTCATTGCGTTGCAACAACTCCGCTGAAAATCGATTATGCAACGAACTTGGTGAACGTTACAAGCGAACGCGATAGAATATTATATGTGCGATCGACGAGTACATATAACAATAGAAATTGTGTTACAATATAAATGACATTTGAGGTGACACTTTAAATCTTTTGAATCTGCCTCCATACATTTGCATTATAATCCACATAAACAATAATATATAATTTTCATTTAGCAAAATGCAGAATTGTTAATGAAATAGAACATAAATAAGGTAAATGTCCGGGTGACCAGACATGTACCTATGTCCGCACATTTGCACAAAAACTTTATTTGTTTATATTATTATTAAATATTTTTTAAAATATAATATTATAATTTATAAAAATGCTTTTTTAAATATAATTTAATTGTAGTAAACCGTATAATTTAATTGTATCTTTAAAATACAATTAAATTATAATATTGTGATAAAAAACCCATTTGAGAGAAAGAAAGAGAGATTAATACTAATAAATTTTGTGTGCTAAAGCATGACTAACTTTTCCTTGACTAAAACTTGAAAAAAGTATATAATAAAAATAAAGAATCGTATTGAGTGCACTTTTCTTTAGAGAGATCATGAATATATACAAAGAATTATCCGTAAGAATAAAAGAATTACCTGTGAAAATAAATTTTAAAAAATATAAATACCAATACAATGTATAATATGACTTACAATACGATTACTGGCTGATTATACATTCAAAAATTAATAAATTATAAAAAACGGCAAATATTTTGTCTTTATTTTGTACATTATTTATTAAGATTTAATCATCTCTCTAAAACACTAAATTCTAATTATCGTCTTAATTAGAAATGTTTTATTTTAACACTAATTACATAACATAATTTTGAAATGTTCAACAATATGTATTTTATAATACATGTATTTTATCATATAATGATGTAGAGATAAAGTGAAACGGAGATGAAATATCTCTCGCAATAAATCCATTCACGTTTTAAAAATATATGATTACTGAAGCATTATAAATATTCTGTATAACTTTTTTTCAATCTTGCTCTGCATAATTTGTAGTTTTCTTTTTCAATTTATCTGTTAATGGCTTTCTACATATTGCTTACTGTAAAATTAAAAAGTCCATAAAAAATTTACATTATTTTTTTAAATAATTAAAAAATTCTATTCAATAGTTTTTGAAAAAGTAAAGTTTAAACATATAGAACTTGATATTACAGTAATTTTATTTTAGATTAATAAATTCTTCAATTTCTTGACTTTTCTCAGTTTTTCTTGACCATTTTTTCCCTGACTTTTATTGGTTTTCCTTATTTTCTTGACTGCTAACAATCTTAAAAATGAGAAAGTTTTTTTTAATTATATTACTATATTTTAAAGCATTAAGTATATATTAAGTATAACGTTCATTTGCTTTATCAACGACACAATCCAAAAAACGAAAAATAAATATGAATGTCTTGATTTTGAATTTCATTAAGATTTTCGAATATTAACCTGCAAAAATGCAATTTTGACGTAATAATTGATTGTAAAGGAATAAAAACATATTTTTTTTAAATATTTGTTTTTTTCTTTACATTATCATTTTTCTTTATGACAATTATTAAATTATATTATTATAGTAAATATACATAATGCAATATATTTTTAATTTTATTTATAATTTACTCATATAATATATAAGTGCCTCCTACAAACTTATTCCACATACAAGCTAAGATCGTGAATTTCTAAAAAAAAGTAATAATGTTTACGGTCACTAAGTTGAAAGCATTTTTGTTCACAGATGGTTTGCGCAAACAGGAGCAGAGCCAATGTTGGTACTCTCTGGACCCAGAACCAGACTTCTTGGTTCTGTGTTGGCCATCGAAGCAGTAACATTAGAAGACAGCGGTGTATATCGCTGCTCCGCTTCTAATCCTGGTGGCGAAGCGAGCGCTGAGATCAGGTAATGGAAGTTAAAAGTTCAAATAAATTATTTCTCAAATGCCAACTTTATTGCATTATCTAAAGTCCATTTATTATCCATTTTATGGATAGTGCGTTTCAATTATGTCATTTTACTTTAATCATTACATTACGCATAATTTCGTAATGCTAAATTTATCAATTTTCAGTAAATAATATTAATCCTCTTGTTGCAACTCTACACCATAAAAAACATTTAGCATTTGTATTAAAATTAACTCTTGTCAAAATTTTTATGATAAAATTTGATTTTCGTAACATATATCCGAATGTTAACATAGCATGATTTTTTGTGTTATTTGAACATTTTACATTAAATTGATATCCAACATTTCTTAGTATTAAAATATAACAATTTATGAGTAAATGCACAATTAACAATAATAAAAAAATATGTACAGTAAAACAAAAATTTTAAGATAAACAAATAAAATGTTAATTTAACACGTTATAAATATTAATTTATAGAAATGAAGAAATATATTTCCACAATTTACTTATAAATTATGTCAGTGTATATGGTTTATGTTAATTTTTACATAATATTTGTGTGTTTTTGGACTGACTGTTTTGGGACACGTAAAATGTGTTGAATTTAACACAAATTTTTAAATTGTAGGTTAATTGTGACGGCGCCTCTTCACGTGGAAGTGACGCCTCCGTTGCTCAGTGTTCACTTAGGTGGCAACGCCGAGTTCAGATGCGAGGTCGGCACGCATCCGCAGGCTGGACCACACTTTATCACATGGTATAAGGACGGCCGGCAACTTCCAGGGACAGGAAGGCAATCGGAATTACTGAAGCTCAACGGAATTGGAAGGGAAGACCGCGGCATGTATCAATGCATTGTGAGAAGGTCGGAAGGCGATACAGCTCAAGCGTCAGCGGAACTTCAACTGGGCGGTATGTAAATACTTTTTCTGATATCCGTCTTCCTGTTACGAATCACAGATATACCCGAGAAAATTCTACAAATTCGAATTTTAGAATAAATATGATGTGTTAGTAGAAAAACATCGAAAATAATAGAAATACGAAATAATTGGAAAATTTTTGTGAGGTACACTGTACCCTAAATTAAATTCAATGTAATGTCAATTTATGCCTAATTTGAATTATTTTTAATTATATATATATAATTAATTTAATTAAAACAATAGGGTTAAACAATTTCTCAAGAAAATATATTAAATTTGGCTCTTTAATATTTACTAAGTGCGTTAATATGTTCATTTTGAAACTAACCACAGAAATGGATTAATTTACATTTTAACATACGTGGAAGTGAAAAATAACGAAATGTTATTTAATTTAAGAGATTGATATTACTATAAATTACTGCTTTATGGAACCAATATATTCAATAGAAGTGGAACAGTATATTCAATAGAATTTTTAAGTTACATTTGAAATTAAATAAACATATTAATCCTTCAATGCCACTCTATAGCATTTTATCACATGTATATCACAGAAATATTGTATAAAAATATTGCATAAGAATAAACATATTATAACAAGTTTCAACTTTTTTTTTTTAATCGAAACGCATAATGGTATAAACAAGAAAATGTATATATCACTCTTCTTAATAAAAAAAAAATTCTAGCATAGCAAAGTAAAAGAATCAATTTCAGGTGTTATAAACCTATGTTATACTGCAGAAGTAACACCGAAGGGTGGTTAAGTGCTTTAACTAATTTGAAAGCATTATAGAAGAGTATCAAGCTCGTCTTGGCGAGAAACAACTTTATGTAGATATAAGGATAGTTTAATTTTAACCCCAGTGACGCGGGGGAGAGCAACCCTCCACTCGAGCACGAAGAAGAGACATTTCGTCGATTAAATACATTTACTATTAAAAGTCGGTGTAACAATCGTTCGTTTCACGGTTCACGCGGAAAGTACTAATAACAATGTTTCGATCGTGAGTATAAGTATTATCCTCAGAGATAACCCATATAATAACGAAGACGTTTAGTACGGTGGCTCGGTTTCCTTGCGCCAGGATATTGACCCTCGCCTCTCTTTCACTATTTCTCTCTCTCTCTCTCTCTCTCTCTCTCTCTCTCTCTCGCTCTCTCGCTTTCCTGCTCTCACTCTCGTGTCATCCTCGAAAGGCGCTGTCAAAGGTGTCCCAACGAGAGAGAAGACACTGCGCACCGATCGACAGCCCGCGTTATACTACCTATCAAGTTACACAGAACTCGATTACTCGGCAAAGAGGCGGCTGCTGCCGCGTGCCGGGCTACCAGTCGAAGGGTAGGCATCACTTTGAAGTGGAGAGGAATCTTCTTTTACAACGCTTTTACCTCGTTTTGCAGCTGTGCACTCCCATCCTCGCATCGTTCTTGCAGCACCTCAACGAGTTTATCGTTCTCTCGTCTATCTCTTACGGGATATATCGATCTTAATAATAGATCATCGATGAATTTGAAGTCGAGTTTTCTCTCCTGTACTTTTCTTCTGTAATTAGAATTTTATAACTCCAATTACACAAAATATTTAATGTAAGATATCAAGAAGATTTCCTTTTCATGAATTAAACTTCGTCAGCGACTTAATTAGCCTCCAATGGATTGTGCTTTAGCAGATATTTAATTCCGAATTTTGCTTCCAAATATCCGACGATGAAAATTTTCAAAAATGTGGCGAGAGCGACGCGAATATTTATAAAGTATTCGCGTATTTATAAACTATTATAAATTCAGGTTTAAGAACCTGTCGTTAATACATAATTAATGCGCCGCACCGTGACCGGACACACCCCGTATATCTAGACCAGTCGTTCTGGGAGTGTTAGTGTCAGGGTAGGGCGACCAGCAGGGTGTAGAGGCCTTTGAAACAACAATGAAGTTAGTGTCTCTCGCTCGTCAGCGTCAGTAATGCACGGAATTTACGTCAAAGAGAATTCGAGCGAGCGAACGCCAACGGCAAGGACACCCTGGCTTTCGCGAACGAGTGGGGCAAAGCTATCTCCGATGCAATTTTGCCGTGCGCGAGGATGAGAAAAGCAGCCTGGCATTGCGGCCCAGTCGAAACTTGAGCGGTTGTTAAAAAAAAAACGAGTCATTTCCCAGACCGAAGAGAGCGCAAATTTGTACGAGGTACATTTTGCGAAATTCAAGCACCTCTCATTCGTAAAATTCGCTCGACGTAGTAGAACGCCTACGATTGGCCGACTGGTTATCAGTGTTCTTGTGATTAGCGAACGTTTTATTGATTCAATCATCTTGCGATTGACGGCCGGAAAAGGAAGTGATTTGCGCAAAATGTCGCTGCTATTATAAAATCGATATCGATGATTGATTATTAATGATTTAATATCCGGAAATCTCTTCTCTTCTCTCTCTCTGTGACTGTCAGATGGGAAAATTAATTTTTATCAAATCTCTCTCTCTCTCTCTCTCTTTCTGTCTCTCTCTTTCTCCTCTTTCTTTTTTCTCTCGTACTACTAGTAGTAATGCATATGAAATTCACGATATGAATATCGTGTATCGCTACTATACATAAAATTCCTCTCGCTACAATTTCAAGCGTTTTGAACAAATGCGCGAATTCTATGGTACGCAGTAGAATAGAAGCGACGGCAGAAAAGTCATTTCCTCGAGCGAACAGAACTGCCAAATTACTCAAAATGAATTCCTCGTGTTTCAAGCGAAACCGTCTGTGTGCGCTCGCAACGCGCGTTTTTACCGATTCGACTAACGTCCGAGTGCTTTAATTTGCCGTTTTTATATTGCTTCGCTGGAAATGGCTGCGACGATGTCGCGAATGCCAGAGAAAAATAAAAGTATAAATCCAATTATTATATACTCTATTGCAGTAAAATTCTGATCGCGTTACAAAAAAAAAACTATCTCGAATACTATATCGGAATATAATAATTATTATACGCGAATGAATGTATCGCGTGTCGATATTTCTACTATTAAACTTTCATCATTATTTTGTCTAAGAACTTGCACACTTTGACAGACGTTGCGATGACAATGGATATTAATTATTCGCGGGACACAATCAACGTAAAAGCGGTAAAAGACGATCCCGTTGAGCGGCGAATCTTCCTCCAAGATATTGTAATACCGACGTCACCGTCACTTAAAATTCTATCTCGTCGACCGGAAGTGAAAGAGCCGCGACGACGCGATTACGAGTACGCCGCGATGATCACTGAGAGGAATCGAGACGGGATTCATCAATTTGTGCATGGATTCGCGAGCACGATGAGGATTCCGGCATTCATTTGAACGATGAGACTCTTCTTCCTTTTTCGTTTCTCGAGAGCTGCGAAGTCACATCCTATTTCTCGCGACAGCGGAGCTTTTTTTAATGATGGCAGAATCGACGCTTTTAATTACGGGTGTAGTCGAAAACATCGACACGGTCAATTCCGAGCTTGTGTTCCCTCGTGAAAATCCATACGGAAACTTCTTCTCCCGCTCTCTTTCTCTCTCTCGGACTTGGCGCGATAGGTTCTGTTTTCCTCGTGTTGCTCTGGAGCAACATCGACGAAGAAAAGAGAAATATCTGCATGGTGCTTCCATGACGGCGAGCCCATTGTCTCTCGTATTCCATCGCACTGGGCGTGGCGGCTTTCAGGATCAGAATATCCTGTGCCTTCGCTCGCCTTCTTTTCACCGGCTCGCTCCTTCGTTTAACCGAACGCTGCATTAAGTATAGCGGTTTATTGCCGAGTGACAGTGCTTGGATTATACCAGTAGTCCACATATTCGTAGCAAAATAAATACATCGAAATAAATACAGATATATGAAGATAAAATCTTCTAGCTTGAATTTTTATTTTTTGATGTCGAGCTTGAATTGCATGATATCACTCTGCTGGTCTGTTCGGATGTATTTGACAAAATTATAATTTATTTTTTCATTAATATTTTATTTGAAGACTTCTTTCTTTGATATTTGATGATTTTATCTGTTAAGTGTCATATAAGATCTTTTTCAAATTTTTTTTTATTTTTTTAGAACTTTTTAATCGTATTGATTAAAAAACACCTAATCAATATAATCGTATAAATTTAAACCAGCAAGAATAAACACACAAAAAAAACAAATATCTTTGTAACAATTTTCAAGAGCGAGGAATTGGTTCATCCACGATATCGAATTTGCATTAATTCCGCGTCACGGAAATATGGTTCTCCCACTTTCCTTTTATATATTTTAAACGATCGCTCTCAGGTATTTTCGTGTTCTAGCAACTTTGATTAACGGTAACGGTTAGCAGCATAAATTTGTTTCCCTTCGCGTAATTAAGCTCGCCTTACACATTAACGTTCCAGACGCGCCGCCCGTGCTCCTATACTCATTCATCGAGCAGACTCTCCAGCCAGGACCCGCCGTGTCCTTAAAATGTTCCGCCGCAGGAAATCCTACACCTCAAGTATCATGGGCGTTGGACGGTTTTCCTTTACCGACTAATGGAAGGTAAGCTCGTCCCAATTCTTTGAAAGCCTACATTTTTGCTATTATTCCGTGTTCGGGAGGTGATATCTTTTAATTTACTAGCGTGACTAATGATCTCATTAAAAACAGAAAGTGGAGAGAAAGAAAGAAAAATATAAGTGTCATTTGTACGTAATTGTGGTATTAAATTTTATATATATATATATATCTTTTAGCTATAAATGTCAAATACATTATATTTTTTCGTTTTCTTTAGTTATTAGAATTATATATAACGCGTTACTATTTTTATTTACTTCAGCTTTCATACTACAAAGAAGTTTATAAAAAAATCTCTTACGTCACACACATTTATTCTTTTACTTACACTGAAAGAAAGATTTTGCTGTATCTCAAAATTTAGTTAGACACGGATCTGAAACTAATTTTATTAAACCGTCAAAATAATTACGTACAAGGAATCTCATCAAGCATTGCAAAAAGTTTTGACATTCTAACAAATAGTTTAAGCGTTCTACTATTTTGATCGTTCAATAAATTTATTTTCAAATCTATATCAAGCTAAATTTTTAGACATTTTAACAAAACCATCCATTTTTCATCATAGTGTTTAACTCTACAGACTAAAGGTTGTTCCCTCTATTTCTAAATCTACATCATGCATTTATATATACATTCTTTTTTAATTTATTTATGACAAACATTTCACAGTCTTATTTATCATCCTCAGCTTAATTTACATTTATATTTCCTATTATACAATACAATGCGTTATTTATTAATGTTGTCAATAGAACTCGAAATAACTAAAATGATTGAGATTAATGTTCCTAACATAAAAAGATGAACGGACTATAAATTGCGCGAGGAGTCTCAAACGTCATTCATACTACTATCGTAATTGAACTATAATTTCTGACGGTGCCGTTCGCGATCGTGTATGTACGCGTACAGGCAATTCTGCGTGTATCCCGACGGAAACGAGAATATTTATCGCCCGGATGGCGTATACTGCCTCGAAAAGAGTGACACGCGCAAGTCCCAGCGGCGGCGTCTAGTTTAATGACAGATCGGCGTAAAGGATCCACCATCTCGCGGACCTCGTCGTATCTCATTTTATCATCGGCTTTTCACCCCCGTCGCTCGAATTCCCTTTGGCTCGCTATCGCAGTTTCCGGTGGCCGTAGTTTCATTCTCGTCCCGATCGAGATGGAACGTGACAAATTCTAAACGATAACGCGCAACGATAACGCCAGGGATTCACGTGCACTCACCGAGATTCGCGAGATTGCGCCGATTTGAGAGCTGTCCAGCCCGCGTCAGACCGATAACAGATAGAAATGCGAAGCGCTTCTCGTGAAAGGTCCACGTATCATTTTACCATCTTCAGTTTTATCGTGCTTTTATTACACGGCTCCGCGATGTTATTGCCCGCGATGCTATTGCGATAGAGAAACATGATTACTCTGTAATCGTTATTTCATGTTAAAAAAGTGGAAAAACGTGGACGATATTCGTTGACAGCTCTACTTTAAATCAAACGTGTTATTATATAATATAAAGGAGAATTGTTAATTTTGACTTAATGTTGACTGCTCAGCCTTTACTAATTATTTATATATTTATTGTGATCAAAATTATTTTTTATATTATGATTCGAAATTTTGTGTTAAATGTTGATTTGGAGCGTATCATATGTCCACTAACGTTATTCACTTATCATATCTTTGATGATATTTCTCTAATAAAAAACCTTCCTGGGTCCATATTGTCCTTTTTCACAATATGTGATTACTAAAGATTAAAGGTCATGAATGAATGAATTTCATTATTCAATTTCTTGGTAACCTTTTAGTCTTTAACCTTTAACCTTTAACCTTTAATCTTTGAATAATCATGTATTGTAAAAACGAGTCTTACTGTTAAATTGTAAGCTGAGGATGACTCCTACTTCTATCGAATCATTTAGATTTTCATTCCTAATTACAATCAACTGTACGTTGTTTTATTCGGGTATCATCATACTATATGCATATTATTTGTTGCTTTGCCTTTTTAATGTTTTATCTTGAGTTATATATATATATATATACAGCTTGAGTTTGCTAAAAAGGTATTGACTTTTTTTTTTAAATATCACGCGGAATATTCAATTATTCTTTACAAATTTACCGAACACAACGAACACAACGAATTAATTCGTAAATTGATTTCAAATCAAAATTTATTGATTTTTGCGCAAGATTCGTCATTGGTCAATACGTGACAGTGCATGGCGATGTTATATCCCACGTCAATATAAGCCACGTAATGGTGGAGGACGGAGGTGAATATTCCTGCACAGCCGAAAATCGCGCGGGAAAGGTGACACATGCTGCACGACTGAATGTTTACGGTGCGTACCTTCCGTTAATTATCGTCGTGTATAATGTGAGACAAATTGTAATTAATTTCACGCAGTGTAGCCGCACCAAAACTGACCATAGAGATATGTGGCTCGCCTCTCGCTTTTTGATATCGAGTACTCGCATCAATAATTAATGACTTATCACTAATTTATGACCATAAATCATCGTCACTGTATAAACTGTAATCACACTTTTCGCCAAAATTACAATTTGACTAGCATTTAACTATTATATGACATTAATTAAAATGCGAAAATGTTATAAATTTAATTTTCTGGAACTGACGTGAATCTATTGGACTCAATCAACCAATCTCTTTGTAAAAAAATGTTAAAAAATTCAATTTCTTTATGTTACATCTGCAAATTTGAATGTTATTCTTATTAAAATATACTTATACTATAATAATACTATAATTCTTTTTTTCTACGAGTTATGTTTTATATACAAGAGTATTTTGATTCCTTGAAATTAATTAATGCCTTTTAATAAACTTATATTAAATGGGTTTCATAGACCCATTTACTACGAATATACATTAATTAAAGGCACTAATTAATTTTAAAGAAAATCAAAATGGCCAATAATTGTATCATTAACTGTGTTATAGGTTTTGACGTTAGCTCCGAAGGGTTAAATTTTAATATCTAAAAAAGTACATTATGTAAAAATAATATTTTCATTATTTATTATAGAAGATTAAATGAGTGACAATGTTTCTAGTTTATTCGAATGTTTACCGATCCTATTGTAGTTTCTCGTCAGCTCGAGACTTATCAAGCTAAAAATATCGAGAAAAATATATAAATATGTAAAAATATATAAAATATATAAAAATGTATAAAAAATATATAAAAATGTGAAATATCCTGTCCAGGACTTCCATACATACGCCTAATCCCGAAAGTGACCGCCGTCGCCGGCGAGACTCTCCGTTTGAAGTGTCCGGTGGCTGGATATCCGATCGAGGAAATCAAATGGGAGAGAGCTAATCGTGAATTACCAGACGATCTGCGTCAAAAAGTACTCACGGACGGCACCCTGATGATCAGCAGTGTGCAGAAGAAGGGTGACGCTGGAGTATACACCTGCTGGGCGAGGAACAAGCAAGGTCACAGCGCCAGAAGATCCGGAGACGTCGCAGTAATCGGTAAGGCCTCATTTCCGGTTTCCTATGGCAACGAATTGTCGCAGGTGGACCATTTTAATCGAAGATGACGACCTGGCGATGAGTGCTGTGACAAGATGAAGGGACGATCCATGACGGTGGAAAAATAAATAAGGGGCTATAATCGATCGGAAAATGAAGAACAAATACAAAGTCATGCAGAGCATGATCCCTGTCATCAGGGGTGGTAGATAAGTTTTAGGATTACGTGGAAGGAGGCCCGAGACACGAGCCATGTTACCGATTGTCACCTATATATACGTAACGTGCGCTCACGAGCTGTCTCGTTGTTATTATTCCAGTTCCTCCCAAAATTAGCCCGTTCACGGCAGATCGCGACCTGCATCTCGGCGAACGCACCACCCTGACGTGTTCGGTGACCAGAGGCGATCTGCCGCTGTCCATCACATGGCTCAAGGATGGACGTTCTATGGGGCCGTCGGAACGTGTCACTGTCACCAATATGGACCAGTACAATAGCATACTGATGATTGAAAGTTTATCTCCAGATCACAACGGCAACTACTCGTGTGTGGCCCGTAACGTGGCCGCAGAGGTATCGCACACGCAGCGGCTTGTGGTTCATGGTAATCCTCCTCTAGGCCCCCTACAATTTGCCCGACGACCGCCTGACCGCCCGAGTTTTGCGTGTGCGTGTGTGTGCCCGTTGCGTGCGTGCGAATCGTATCGGCCGGGCTCGAAAATGGAAGCTGCACGTGGAAGTTGCGTCGTCGTTATCGTCAACGACTATTGTTATATATTCTGGATGCGGGATTGATCAGCAAAATGCGGGATTGATCAGCAAAATGCGCTGTGAATGCTTCATTCGAACACAAAGATTAAAGCTCGAGCCGTCGACGATGCGCTTCCAAGCAAATCCACGACGGGACCTCGTCGACTTCTCGTCACCAAGGAACGTAGAGACTTGGTGACTTGTAATTAAAGATTGCTCACGCTTAGCGTGACTTTTCCTTATGCACGATACCCGCCTCTACCTCTCCCACACGTCCTCTTAAAGAAGTTGCGCTTCGACTTCTCGAGAGCGACACCGCACGTTTCCTTTTTTTTCGTCCAGACAGTTTACAATTATATTTGTTCAACTATCTCTTTCACGTTTTACCACGTCCTTGAATTTTGTGACGGGCGGTGCTCGTCACAGCGTTTCAGATAGATATGAAGAAAATCATTTTATTCCTCTAAAAATATTAAAATATAATTAAGTATTTTGAAGGAAACGACGCGGTAGCTTCGGAAAGATGAAGACTCGCTCTCACGTTAATTGGAAAGGATCGGATGCTGCGCGCAAGTGTGCGATGCCAATTTAAGTGTATAAGGTGTGAGGGCGTCAGGGGCAGGTCCGCGGCGGGGCCACCCTCTCTCTCCTCTACATTGCTACGTTACTATACTGCCTCTATTGTACATATTCTACATATATATACATATTATATTCTATATATATATATCTACATATATACATGGACGTACCACTGTTTATATGAAGCGGAAGGAACAGAAGCAAAAAGAACTGAAAAAAAAATATATATATATACACATACCGTCTCACAGTATAAACCTATATATATATATTTGTGCATATATATATGAAAAGAACACGTATACCTGGTATTACAAGGTTCTTGCGTTTTTTGGTGCCATCTTTTTCTTGCTCTCACGTATGGTTCTCTCTTCTCTCTTGACCTTTTCCAGTACCCCCTATTATTGAGCCATTTACGTTCCAAGAGGGACTATCCGAGGGGATGCGGACGCGGACGGTGTGCGGGGTCGCGGCGGGAGATCCACCTTTGACCATATCCTGGCTGAAAGACGGCCAAAGTCCCTTTCCCTTACCGCCGAATCTGGCGTCCGTCGCAAACGTCTCCCAACTGGATCCCTACTCGAGCCTCCTCAGTATAACGAATCTCGCGGCCGAGCACTCCGGCGACTATACCTGCGTCGCCGCGAACCCCGCCGCCGAGGTCAGGTACACGGCCAAGCTACAGGTAAAAGGTAACTAGATGATCGCCAACCCTTTTCCTAGCGTTCCTAATAATCGTCTAATAATCGCCTTGCCATTCCTCTCGATCGTTTCACCCCGATATAAGTTCAATGACATTTCTAATCTTTAATCATTACTTTTTCTAGGTTTAAAAGAATCTCGATCACATTGTAAAATTGTTCAAGTCCTATAACCTACAAGAATTAACTTTAATATCCTAAATTTAATATATGTATAGATATGTATATACACCTAATAATTAAATAACCTGCCTACTAGAATAGTTGACATCAGGTAATATTAAGGAAACGTATCAAATAAATTTTCAACGATCTGCAATGTAGGTATTTGTAATGCCGTGAAATTTAATTCCGAAATTTGTCGGGGTAAAACATCATCCTATAAATATCCATTCCATAGTTCCTCGTTCTCCAGTCTTAGTCGCCATTTCATCATCCACCGCCATCGACATATCATCGCGCTTATTAACTCGGTCCCGCTTCACCATAGTTCATCATAACTGTGTTCTCGCCAGGATGTGACATTTATAGAGACCGTACTCCACGTTGGTTCCACGGCTTAAAGACGATACCATCGAGATTTCGAGTTACAGCACGTTCACCCCCGGGCGAGATCACGATCATTAAGCTCCCATCCTCCGTCTCTTCCACCTCATCCTCAAATCTGTCAAATCCCTCCCGCAGATCCGATACTCCTTCTTACCCTAGACACAGTGTGTATTACATTTGCGTTGCTTTGGCTCTCTGGGAATGCGTCGGTATCTCGTGGATCCCCGAGGTTTGCTTGACTTGACCGAATAATAAAGGTAACAGTTTGCACCTCTTTCCTTATTTTTTACTCGTTTCAACTACAACAACTACAACAACAACAGCAACAACTGCAGCTACAAATAACTAAATACGAAAAAAAAAAAAAAAGATTTTTTCTGGCCTGCGTGCGTGCGTGTATGTGAGCATCGACACTTTATTCGGCATGATCTCTTTACTTCAGTAGTTGTAGATCACTATTGCCTGCATCACATTTTACATGTAAATAAATGTATATATTTTTCTCTGTGTGTGTCTGTGTGTTTATCAAATTATTACTTAATTAATATATATATATATATATACATATATCGAAGTATCTTGATCACCCAAGTGCGAGCACGTGCCACTACGCTCACGATCAATCTTCACCGACCTTTGCGCTGGCTCTTCTTTGGGCTCGTTGGAAGACAACCTTTATTCACTTCTGCATGCTTTCTCACCAAACTTTCTCTCGCTCTCTGTCTCTCTGTTTCTATCTTTCTATCTCCGTCTCTCACTACCTTTCTCTCTTTTTCTCTGTTCGTCCGTATCTCTTTCTCTTTTTTATATTTCTTTCATCGCAACGAGGAACGAGGATGCCGGACGCTCACGTAACGCGCCCGCGAGCTCTCTTTCTTTTTAAAAGTAAGAAAAGTAATGATCTTAAGAGAACGATAAAAAGCCCTTAAGCTTGTCGGCGGCCGATAAAACTTCAAGTTCCTAGCGTGATACTCGATACAATAGCTTAAACTCGTAAGAATACCCCGAGCTCGCGCATCCTCCACCTTGTCGGCGACCGGTAAAAAATGTAGGCTAGTAGTACGTATACCATTAATTAAATTCGTACTTTATTGAACTAGTCGTTAGACGCGGGTACTTATATATACATATTGTTATTATTGGTATCATTATTATTATTATTATTATTATTATTCGCCCTCACGAGTTCCGCATCCGAACACTTCCTGCCCTTTGCGTACCTCTTTCCGAGAGTTCTACTTGTTTCACACACGCCACCGTTTGGGCTCGAGTATATTTGAATACTCACGTTACATATATACATATATATCTATATATCTATCTATCTATCTATATATATATTATATATTGTCGCACGCGATCGATGCGTGGCCGATACTTTGCCGTCTTGTAAAACGTTGGAAACTCCCACTCACAGTATCTCGCTTGTGCAGCGTTTTTTTCACCACAGTAAGAAGTAGAACCTTGCCAAACAATACACCTGATCGTACAAGAACCACCCCCTACTTTGAGACTTTGTTGACAAATCGATGCGCGACGCAAAATCTCGCGCCGGGATCGAGAAACTTCGACGACCAAGCATCCGTCTGTTTTCTTCTTTTTTTTTTTTTCTTTTTTTGTCTTACGAGCTAAGAGCTGTTATACGTACTATTGTCGCGTGCTATTATATAGAGACGCCTACGTTTCGTTGTCCTTGTTGGTAGTTCCTAGGAGAATTAACGTTGCAGATAATAGATGATCGATTGCCCCCCGCCCCCTTATCACTTTCCTTGTTACCCTGTTGCGGTGTTGAACATAGAGGTGAATTGTCTGCTGCTGCCTGGCGTGCGAATGACACGAGACTTTATATATATATATATATCAATTGACACCCGCGAAATACGCCTCGCATCGATTCATGACCCCCTAATTCTCCACAACTCTGCCCCATCCGCATACTTACCTTCTCATTCTCACTCTATCTTCTCTTATTAGTATCTTTATCAGTTTCTTCATCGCGCGATATATCGCGCGAATATATCGCGTGCAAATTCGCGGGAGATTCGAGAAAATGCGAAAAGTCGCGTGGAAATAGAGAACGCGTGCATTCCAAAGAGAGAAGATCAAACGAAAACAGCGTAGCTTCATGCGCGAGACCATCTCTTTCAGTGCATCTCTCTTTTTCTCTTTCTCTCTATCACGCGCGTCTTTTTATCAGCTCGTTTGAGATTCGATCTCTTTGATGTACAGAATCGCGCGTTGCGCGTCGAAGCGACATGAGCTCACGATAGCTCTCTTTCGTTTTGCGCCGCGCTTTTCACGGCTCTTTTCTATCTCTTTTACTCTATCTCTTTTTCTCTATCATGAAAACGTACCTGTCTCTAAATCGCTAACGACCAGTAAAGCAAGACGTAATAAATTTGAATTGCTGGCGCACACGTGATGGATCTATGTAAAGCGAATGTCTCTGACGTTACAGTGCCGCCCAGATGGATCGTCGAGCCAACCGATGTAAGCGTCGAAAGGAATCGCCACGTCGCGCTGCACTGCCAGGCGCAGGGCGTCCCGACGCCGACGATCGTATGGAAGAAAGCTACCGGTGAGACGATTGCAAATGAAGTGATTTTATTACACAACTGTCTCACAAGTCTTTACGTTTATTTATGTATCAAAGAAAATTAAGGAGAATGTTAAAAAAGGATTGATTTTTTTTCCCAAAAGGTGTAAGTAAAAGAAATAGTGGTTTTTGTATATTTTTACCTCGTAGATATGATAAAATTATTTAAAAATTCATAGCATTTGGGAAACACTTCGAAAATTGAGCACGAACATGATGTATTTATCGAAATTTCTATATTCTTGCTCAATTTTCGAGGTGTTCTCTAAACACGGAGAGAATTTTCTTTTAAAATTTACCGTGAAAATATAGTAGTTGTGGTACAATATTTTAAAGATTTTTACTATGCACTTTAGTAAAATTGTTGTTGTAAACTTATTTTATACTTTATTGTAGTTTTATTAATGAACGAGAGAGATTTAAATTAAATTCTTCGAAATATTGTCCCACGACTGTCATATTTTCAAAGTAAATTCTAAGAAAAAATTCTCTCCGTGTATAAACATTTTAATAATTTTATTCAGAAAGTCAAAATTTACAAAAAAAAATCACATTCTTTTATTTACACCTTTTTGTCAAAAATTGGCCCGTTTTTAATAATCTTTTATTTCATAATGCTATTACGATATAAAAACGTATATAATATCGTATTACGATAAATAAAAACAAGAAAGGAAGTTCATCCTGTCAAAAATCGTATTAATCTTATGTAGACTGACGATCCCATTTGGGATCATCGATCCCCTTTCATAAACTGCGCTCGATGAACTTTGGCCTATAGGATAATTTAATAATATGCTTTATCCGAATTAAGATTAAAAATAAAAATTCAAAATGGTAAATTCAATAGAATGATAAATTCAATGGCAAATAGAATTTAAAAAATAATTTGATTATTATAAAACTTGGTTTTATTTGCGAAGTAACATCAAATTTCAATTTCGCTTTATTTGAAGCTCATCAGTGTTATGTAAACAGTTAAAGTATTAATTTTCTAAGTGACATTCAAACTCTGATTATAAATCCTCTCTGACATTAGATCCTCTTTCATAGAAGTTACAACTTTTAAAATTCAATATTTTCAAGTTTACATTCAAACTCAAAGGTACTAAGAATCTCTTAAAATCAGTAATTTCAGATAATCAGATTATTTTTTTGAAACTTAAATTTTAAAATTTTGAAACTGGACTCAAATTCAGAGATCCCCAAAACCCTTTGAAAGCGAGATCTTTCATAAATTACTTTATTAGAACATTTCTCAAAAAGTTAACAATTGTCTCTCATACATAATCAAATCAACCAACAACATGGTTATTGCAATATTCGCCAATTATTTTTCCTATTCAAATAAAACCAATCAATAAGAGCGAAGCAAGTTCGCTAACTTCACTCTTATAGATTATCACGCACAACCAAATAACATGATTGATCATTCAGAATAGCGATCATGTAGATTTTTTCCTAGGGAGGAAACGTGAAAAGTGAAAATTTTTAGTATGTATGTGTATATATGTACAATGAAGAGCAAAAATGAGCTTATACTTCGATAATACATACATAAAAATTTTCACTTTTTACGTTTCTGCTTTAAAGAAGAAGTTAAGTACATGATCGCTACTCAGTATTCAGATAAAAAAATGCCGACAAGTGAATCCAGTTAGTTCTATACAATATACTGGAACAAACCATCGGGAGTGGGGGTTTCAATTCCTTACTCTAATGCAAAATTGGTACTGTTTTCTTCATCATGGATTCATTGATTGGATAATGCTATTTTACTACCATAAGTAAAAAAGGAACCAGAAAGACTAATATTGCTTGCCTTCTTTTTCTCTGTCGGGCTGCAGTTATAATTTAGTATAGAGAAAGCTCTAGTATATTATAGAGCTCACTCTGAGTGAACCTATGATTCTGGATCTTATATTGTAATACCACATTGCCGGAAATTGAAATCGCGGTATCAAAAAAAAAAACATCATGTTAAAATCACAATTTATAGATATGTTAGAAGGAACGATGTGAACAAATGAGAGTATAAGATTTCAAATTATTTATTGCGTAATTTGTTGAAAATATTATAAATATTTTATAATCTAATATCGGGTCACTACATATTTGAATTCAAGCCTAATTCTCCTTTCTGGGAATAGTATCGAATAACTATCTAATATCATCCTGTAGTATTGCAATCCAAGTTTATTCCATTTGTTCACGAAGCAGAGATGTAGGTTCCATTTTCATTTTAAAACTGCACGATACAGTGATGACTCTATACAATATATATACTGGAGTGAGTCTTCTCTATAAAACTGTGTGATGGGCGGCTAAATTGCAAGAATGACAGCTATTCGACTTAGGAACGTCTGCCTCGCTTCAATATAGTATGTTGAAAGGAGGTAGACATCCATAAATCACATAGTTGTCACTTTCGCATCTTCTCACACATTTCGGCCGTTCTCACCACACATTTTCATAAGGGAAGACTCACTCCAGTATGTGTACAGCTGATACATACCACTCCCTTTGTGAGTTAAAAGTTAATATTTAACGTAGATTTCTTAAACTTCAAGTTTATACGGTTCCCATGAAAGATAACATTCAGACAACATGCATGTCTAATAAAACTTTATAAAGACGTCATTTCGGACATACATGTCTAAAAGTTATTTAAAAGATATCACAAAGAGATTTTCTTGACAGTAGGTATCGTCTGGGTTACAGTTTCGTCTTAATTAAATGTCTACTTTTCGATGTTGCAATTTCTGGTAGTGCAGTATTTATAAAATATCACTTCTTTCCAAGAGTCAAGAAAGCGCGATAGAATTTTTTTCACATAAATTGAGCACCAATCGACTTGACTTTCTCACGGAGCACTTGTTAACAGGAAGCAAAGCCGGTGATTACGAGGAGTTGCGCGAAAGAACTTACACCAAGATTCTCAGCAACGGCACTCTATTGCTGCAACACGTGAAAGAAGACAGAGAGGGCTTCTATCTGTGCCATGCGAGTAATGGCATTGGAAGCGGTTTAGGCAAAGTCGTGCAATTAAAAGTCAATTGTGAGTAAAGTGCGTCACGCAATTCATTTTGTAATTAAATATTTCGCTCAATATTATATTGTATTAACAACACAAAAACGTTCGCATTTAATTTGAAACGTTAAAATTCTAAATTATTGAACTCACATTTTTTTTTATATTGTTTTACGACTGTGTAGCGTCTCCATATTTCGCGGCGCCTTCAAGACTTGTTACTGTAAAGAAAGGGGACACGGCGACGTTACACTGCGAAGTACACGGCGATAAGCCGGTTACCGTTACCTGGCTGAAAGGTGGTAAAAGCGAGTTGAATCCCTCGACGAATTACCGGTAAGTCGAGATTAACCATATGTATAGAATCATAGAGAAGAATGGACTGACAGCGACGCGCGTGAAAATCGATACGATCGTGATGAATTAACTAAAACGGAGCGAAATGCTCTGCGCCCGCTGCGATTTTCGTTAGATTATCGTGTCGTTCGATATGGAATGGATGGTTTATAATTGCGAGCCGCACGTTAGTGTCGATAAATCGATCGTGTCGAGCGGAATTTAGCAAATGAGATGCGACGGTATTAATAATGCATTCCGGGCTGATAATAGGGAGCATACGCAGGCACGTGAAACGCATCCACTTGAAAAATTCAGGAGAGCCATATATATCCCGGTTAAAAGGGTCAAATATAATCCGTTTATTAACAAGAGAATACTGAAATGCTGTTGTTCAAAGATAGAGTTTGTACCAAAAATATTAGCATACCACTTTTGATGCGACGATACATGAATATTTCATAGTTGTGCCCTTTTCACGGAGCTTTTAATGAACTTTTATAAATTCATTTATAAAGCGTCGCAGTGAAGCAGGAAGTAACGCCGGACGGTGTCATCGCGCAATTGCAAATCTCATCGGCGGAAGCAGCTGACAGCGGTGCGTACTTTTGTCAAGCGAACAATCTTTACGGGCGCGATCAGCAACTGGTGCAACTCCTCGTGCAAGGTACGAGTATGGGTTTATAGGTCAATTCATCCCGATATAGAATAATTGAATTCCAAATGCAATATTCTTGTGCTATATACACGTATATCGTCACACGAGTGCATTAATATCGAATTTCGCATGTTTTAGAACCACCTCAACCGCCGAGCGCCCTAGAAACTGCTATGGTGGCTAGTCGCAGCATTAACGTTAAGTGGCAGCATAAGTCGCAGGACACTAGCGAAGTCACTAAATATATCCTTCAGTATAAAGAGGGCGAAGGTAAATTGGCAAATATTATTTTACATCAATTCGATGAAATAAGTAAAGAAGAACCAAATATAGGTCAAGAGTCTTGACTCAAGACTATGTATACTTGGTGTTTAATAATTCTATATGTAAATTTTTAATACATCTTCTAATTATACACGGAATAGATTGTTACGACCAAACGTTGCCCATCAATACATTTTTTTGATTATAAGAACGATTATGATAATCGTAAGATTGGTATATCTTAATGGTTATAGCTGTAAATAAAATATGTCCATCTTACTGTTATCGCAATAAATATATTAATGCGAAAATTATCATTGTTTCTGGTTGTGATAATGTAACTTTTTTTTTCTGTGTACATATAAATTACGCCGAATATTGTTGGACTTAAAACGCAATCATAAATTGAAGCTAAAATAACAATATTAAAAATTAAGCATCAAGATATAGTCTCGATTATATTTGATCTTTCTTTACTTATTTCATTTATTCATATAGCAGTCTAGTTCAACTTACTATTGTACATTCGATGTACTAAAGTACGTGAAGTATACTTTTAATTAATATTGCACTGAAAAAAATGCGCAAAATGCAAGAAAATACAAGAAATAATAAATTATGAGATCGATAAATACAATTTAACTTAACAAATATCTATATTAAGTTTTTTTATAAATTAATCATTTAATAAATTTTTTGAATATTCTCTTATTCCGATTTTTTTTCATAAAAACTTGTTGTTTCTCAATTTAATACAAATTGTATTCAAGAAAAGTTCTAACACTTATAAATTAAAATGCTAGGCGGAATATGGCAGCAACAAGAGTTTACTGGGCCACCCTTACCATATGCGGCATTAATCGACGATTTAAAACCCGCCACGAGATACACCATACGCGTGATAGCGGAAGGTCCAGCAGGCCGATCTGTTCCCTCAGCGGAACTTCTTGTCAGAACCGAACCGCAGAAACCAGCTGGTCCGCCAATGAATCTCGCAGCCAGACCTCTCTCCTCGTCTGAAATACTCGTCACTTGGTCACCGCCTTTAATGGAACTTCGCCATGGTGACATACAGGGTTTCAATGTCGGTTATAAGGAAACGAGGTATAATTATTACAAAGAAATTAAATCCTAACTGAATATATATATATATATATATATATATAACTCGAAGTAAATAGTATTATATAGTATTACTCGAAGTAAATAGCCAATCGTGTAAAATATAAAACATTTAAATGATAAATATTGAAAAAACAGGATGACAAAAAAGTTTGTTCTGGTAAAAATTTTTCTTTGAATTTTTTATATTTTCAGAATTTTTATTTTTAAATTTCAAAATTTTTAATTAATTTTATAAAATTTTTTTATAAAATTTCTCAGATTTTTTAATACAAATTGGAACATTTTTAAAAATACCAAGAATATCTATATCGATCTGTTCTAGAATTCTTTATATATATAAATTTTAAAATATTCTAAGATTTTTCGCTAAGAAATTTGAAAAAAATTTTAAATTTTTTAGAAATTATAAAATGAAAAATTTTAGAGAATCTCAAAATTTACATATATGAAAAATTTTAAGAAAAGATGTAGAATTTCTCAGTATTTCTGAAAAGTGTTCTGATTTACATAATTTTTAGAAAAACTTTTACTAGAATGACCACAAAGTTTCATTTATCTGAATTCTGAATTCTGAAGTGTTGTACTTTTTTAAATAATAATTAACATTTCAAATGGCCATCTTTACCTTCGATACAATCTTTAAGATGTTTCTAGAAAGCTTCAACGCTGGACGTTCATCTTTCCGGATAAATCCTTCGAAAATAAAGTCTTTAATCCATCAACTAATGAAAATCTTTTGCAAAATCTTTTTGATATTTAATAAGATGTAAAATGATAACTATCATTTTTTAAAGATTGTTTTTTTTTTAAATACATTACTATACAGGTAAGCTGACATTATTTATTATTATTTGAACAAATGACATCTTTAATTTTATTATGAAAATGACGACAAATAACGTCAACTTGCTATCTGAGTATAATATGATTTGGTAAACACAAAACTTCGTTGCTAAACTTTTTGGTCATCCTATATTATGTGAAGACAATAATACATGAAGAGATTGATTATAATTAAATATTTAAATCATGTTCGGTTTTAACCCCCTTGTTAACTTGTTTTTGTTGGAGAATAAAATAAATTTGAAATTACACCGATGTATAATAATAAGAACAAATATAAATAAATTTTTCAATAATTGTGGATAAATTCCTTGCCGGAAGTTTGAGCAGCATAGTCAGGGGATTGTTATTTCAGCTCAAACAATCCATCGTACAACTTCAGTTCCGTCTCGGGCGATGGAGAGGAAGGAGGCGGAGAGCTTCGACTTACAGGTCTTAGGCCATACACCAGATATACTCTTGTCGTTCGAGCTTATAATCAGGTGGGGCCAGGACCTTTGTGTGAACCACTGATCACGCAGACCTTGGAAGATGGTGATTATTAAAGTTTTAAGTCTTTCATTGAAATTCTTTTCTTTTCTATTCCCTAAGATAAAGTTCTAAGGTAATAATCGTTTGGAAATAACTATTTGTAGTTCCCAGCATGCCACCAGAAGATGTGAGGTGCGCGGCACTTTCTTCCCAATCCTTGCAAGTGTCCTGGCAACCCCCGCCCAGCACTCACAGCAATGGTATCATCCAGGGTTATAAATTAAATTACGAACCGATTTTGGCAGACGCGTGGCGAGGCGTAGACGAGATGGAGGTGAATATCCTATCAAATTAATTTATTCCATATGTTTTCCTATCTTAATTAATTAGTTGATTTCATAATTAGGTTCGTAAAACAAGTGCTCTAACAACGGTTTTAACTGGGCTCAGACGATACACCAATTACACTATCCAGGTTTTGGCTTATACCAGAATTGGCGACGGTGTGCCTTCCGCTACAACTTACTGTCAGACGGATGAAGATGGTGATTTACTTAATATCTCGGAGTAATCTTTTTCTTTGACAAAATTTTAATAAATTTTTTTTCTTTTGCTTTTTTTACATAGTGCCAGGCAGTCCGGCTGATATTAAAGTCGTCGTGAGTTCACCACAGGCTCTTTTCATCTCATGGCTACCACCGCTTGAGCCAAACGGAGTTATTACGAAATACAATCTTTATACAAGGTAGTAAAAATATATAAGTAAATCAAAATTTGTATTTTATCTTTTGCGCTTCATATGCAAAAAAAACTTCTGATCTTGCAATTTAAGGTATTTTGTATGATTAGTTTTCTACACAGTTGAAAAATTTATGTTAAATTTAATTACACATTTTATGTGCTCCAATTAATCTACTCAAATTTTTGAAACACAAAATGAATATGTTAGGAAGTAACACAAATGTTATGTAAAAAAATTAATACAAAAAATATAATACTGACAGTTTTTAAACAAAATGTGGAAGCATACTTTTTCTCCGTAAAATTAACATTTACAATATGATAAATTAACACATTTTATTCATTTATTTTATATTTTAAAATACATTATTTTTTTATGTCAATTGTTACTTACAAATTGTATTATTTTAACACTAAAAGTTGTTAAGTATTAATTTAACATAAAATATTCAAATAATATAATCACATTATGTTAAATTAACACTATTAAAAATTCAACATAAAAAATGTTAACAATATTTTACCATTTTAATATAAGTACAAAATGTTTTTTGTCAAATAAGATCTTAAAAAATAAATTTATTGTGTGAATTAAAACTTTCAAATATATATTTGACAAAGTACAGATAATAAGAACATTCCACAGAGTCGTCGATGGACGAGAGGAGCTCAATCACGGCAAGAAGACATTACCGGCGTCGAGCACGTACTTCGAGGCGACTGATTTGCAGCAACATGTCGAGTATCAATTCTGGGTAACTGGTAGCACACGAATGGGCGAGGGCCAAAGTTCGAGAGTGGCGGCGCAAGTACCGACGAATCGTGTGCCAGCCAGGATCACGTCCTTCGGCGGTCATGTGGTGCGTCCATGGCGAGGTTCGGCGACTTTGGCGTGCAACGCGGTCGGGGATCCGACAAGAGATTGGTACAAGAGTACCACGGAGCAGATACGCACCGATTCCACCAGGAACGTGCAGATTCTAACGACTGGAGAACTCGTGTTGTCAAATCTGCAATCACAGGACAGTGGAAATTATACCTGTCAGGTGGAGAACTCTCAAGGCAGTGACAAGCTGCATTATACTCTCACGGTGCAAGGTAATTATTGCGATAAATTTTCTTCTTTATTTTCATAATTTTATATATAAAGGGCAAGTAGGCAATCTTATACAAAAGAGTATTGTGATCCTCCGTCTATAATCACATTTTTACTCCCTTTGTTCGATCTAATATTTTTACTGGGTTTTTTAATATTCAAGATTAATCTTCGTCTGTATTACAGGGTGTATCACCAAAATCCGGACAAATCGAACAATTTCTTCAAACAAAATGTTTTTAATGAAAAATTAAATATTACAAAAAATCTTTTTACATGGCACTTGGGGGATCCCTGTAGAGCACAATTATTCGATATATCCCCGATTAGCTTGAATAACGGCCTCTATTCTCGATCTGAAGCGAATGCGTTCGCACGCATGCTGTAATGTAGCGTTGTCCATGCCAACGAATGTTGCCAATAGCGATCCTTAATGACGTCACATTGGGAGACTTGTTTGTGACTCTTTCAACTACGCTCCATACGGAAAAATTTAAATTGAAATTTGTCCGGATTTTGACGTACATTAATGTGCGTGACCTGTACATTATCAGGTAGTTTTTTTAATAAAATATTTTAGAAGTGGGAAACCGAATTCTGGTCTCTTCTTTATTTCGAAGAAATTTGAGAGTGAACGCATTTTGTACTAAAAAAAAAAGACTCATATTGCAGAGAGAATTATTTAATATCAAAATAATTATTGATCCATTTGTTCGTAGCTATTATGATGTATAATAATTGCTGCTACATAATGACGAAGCAAATATTCTGTTAAATAGATTTTAATAGATAATCGCTAAATCAACTTATATTATATAGACTCTAATTTTACAGAATATTAGTCCAGTCTAGAATACACTGCAATCTAAAATTTACTGTTACAGTTCCGCCCAGTGCGCCTGTATTATATGTAACTAGCTCTACGTCGAGCAGCGTGTTATTACATTGGAAATCCGAGCATAATGGTGGTGCTCCTTTGACGGGTTACACACTATATTATCGAACTGCTCATGGTACCCTTGATGAGTTACAACTATCTCGCCATGCCACTAGCCACGAGCTGAAGGTTTATATATATATAACAAAATATTACTTGTTTCAAGTATACAACTTGTAAGATCACAATAATAAATCCTGCACGCGCAGATTCTATATAGAAGTCCGCGTATTATGCGAGATTAAATGTATTATGTGAAAATCTATACAAAATTTAGAATATTTTTTTTTATTTTAGAGAAATAAAAAATAATCCAATATTATATTGTAACAAGAAATTATTTTTATGTTATCTTAATACAAAAAGAACTTATAAATGTTATTAAATTTATAAAATCATATAATAAAGTCATTACAACGTGGAAAGATTGTAAGATTCCACAAAGCTTTAATTTAGTAAAACTATCAGCAAAATAAATCTATATTAGAAATAACCTTATTTCAAAAATTTTAAATGGTGCAATCTATTTGAAACTTGCGCAAATTATATTAAATTACAGTTTAAAAAAGTAGTATTAAATATTAGGTGTTGGAATTAATTCGTAGCGTTTTACAAGTGATGGGAAGTACTTTCATTAATGTATTTTTTAATGCTCATGTGAAATAAATAACATTCTTTCATTAAAAACGCTACGAATTAATTCCAACACCTAATACTTTGTCACATAATAAATAGGTTGTAAACGTTATAAAAATCTGTATAATACGTATTATACAAGAGTCTATTACAAAAAGTGCAATACAATAAATTAACATATAGCAGTAATTAAAATTATAGCGTAAATTAAAGTTAACACGTATTCTGAATAATGAACCATTATTGAAAACCGATTAATGAACTTTTTAATTGAAAAAGTTGACGATTTCTGTTAGTTTAGAAACTAAATTGATCGAAATTGTAATTACTTTAACAGGGGCTCCTGTGCGGAAACACGTATCAGTTATATCTAACATCGCATAATAAAATCGGTAGCAGTCCATCATCACCGGTGCTCTCAGTTCGAACTCAGGGCCAAGCTCCGGGCATTCCACCGGCGGCTGCCTTCCTTAGCCCAAATTCTACCACTTTAGTGCTGCGATTGCACGTCTGGCCTGATAATGGTTGCCCTATAAAATATTTCGTTATACAGTATAGACCAATAAATGAGTTTCATTGGACTCTGGTGTCGAACAACGTCAAGATGCAACGGCGATTCGTCGTAACTAATTTAACACCTAGCTCGGTCTATCAACTCAAAGTCGAGGCTCACAACGTAGCCGGCAGCAATCAGGCGGAATTTACGTTTGTAACGTTGACGAAGGAAGGTGGTAAGTTTGAAGATCAACTAATGCATGAAAACTTAATCCTTAAACGCCTTTTCTATGTAGACTTTTTCATATCGACTTTTTTTCAATGCTTTTTAACCCAGGAAAATTAAATTTTTTTGCGTTTGAAGAAAACATGACAAAATTGCCATAAAATATTTGTTTGCGAGAAATTGTTCGAAATGACGTATTAATGTATTATTGTATATAACACGTACTAAAAGTCTCGACCGCCAGCGGACTTGGAAAACTTTTTAACTTCAAAAAATTGATCAATAACGCGGTTTTTCAAAAATATCTCAAAAAGTATTCATTTCATCGAAATAAAGGTCGTTATCAAAAAGAAAGAAAGTTGAAATTACGAACAATTTCGTTTTTTTAAGATCGTACAATCAATACTTTCCATAATAGAATTTTTTTAAAGAATATTGTATTTTTGGCTTACAAAATAATTCTTATAAAGATTAAAGATTATTAAATTTCCTACAAAATCATTTTTTATTCATCTTCGTACGATCAAGTTTCTGAAATACACATCCGAGAAAGATTTACTTGTGTAAAATTAGTCTAAAAAGAAAATTTTGTTCTTGTTTATTTGTACATTACTCGCATCTGACAGTATTTTAATGATATAAACAAGTAAATTATAAATTCATACCATATAATAATCTCAATAATAATATAATTATTAATAATAATATTTTTTAAAGTAATAAAAATTTAATAATTTAATTACTGTCATGCAAAAAAATATTTTATTGCTCCAAAATTATCGCTGTTTTTTGTATCTAGAAAATTATGTATCACACGCGTAGAATTTATAGCACAATATTCTAATTCTCTATATGCAAGAAAATTTAGGTCTCATAATCAAATATAAATCACTGTTAAATATCACAATCACAGTCATCTGATTGAACATTACAGAGAAACTTTTTTGATAAATTTGACTATTGATTAGATATAAAACATAAAATCGTAGTGCTTGCTAATTATTTATCCATTTTAGTTAATTTTTCGTATCTAAATAATTTTTACTATGATTATTTTGGATCGGCTGTTTTGAATTTTTTACATTGTATTTGACTCTAAAAATCTTAATCTTCAGTATATACAACACAAAATAACAAAACCAATTCTGAAAGTTGTACATTTTTTCCCTTTTTACTTATTGCAAAATATCTTTTGTACTATGACTTTTTCTTGGCCAAAAATTTTTGTTTTTTAGTCTTAAGATTAAAAACCTTTCGATTTTATTATAAGTACTTTTTATGTAAGAGTAGCCGAATCCGAACTATTTATATAAAACGTTAAAAAATAAGTTTTGTTCAAAAATAAAAAAAAATATTTTTAAAATCATATCTCCGAAATTATTGGTCGTACAAGGATGAATAAAAAACATTTTATAGGGAATTGCAGTAACCTTCAATTTTATAAAAAGCTTGTATTTTGTACGTAAAAGTAGTCAGATCCGAGATATTTACGAAAAAAAGTGAAAAATCGTTTCATTTTCGAAATGATCAAAAATATATTTTTTTTTAAATTCTATCACGGAAAGTATTGATCGTATGGCCCTAAAAAAAGTAAATTGTTTGTAATTTTATCAGCTTTCTTTTTGATAATGATCTTTATTTTGATTAAATAAAAATTTTTCGAGATATTTCTGAAAAACCGCATTTTTTATTAATTTTTTCAAGTTGGAAAGTTTTCCAAGTCCGCTGACGGTCAGAACTTTTCCAGTATGTTGTATAATACGTCATTTCAAACAACTTTCCGCAAATAAATTGTTTATGGCAATTTTGGCTCCAAAAAATTTAATTTTCCTGGGCTATTTTCCATTAATTATAATTTTTTTTTATTAATAAAGATACATACACATTTACTAAGTATCATTATACTCCTTAATGTTGGACGTTTTGATTGAAAAATACTTTTTACAATATGTTCATTTTCATGAAAATTATAAGCAACCAAATTAGATTGTCATATACCAGTGTGTTATTCCCTTAGAGAGGTGTTTAAAGATTAATATAGCGCAACTTTCATCGGAAGATAATAGTGATCGAAGATGCGTCCGCATCATCCGATGAAACTAAATTGAAAAGTTTATATCCAAAAGCACTGTGGTCCTGTAACTTTGCAGAAACACCGCCGCCAGGATTATCGAAACGCGGGATGACATCGGCCATGCCGTTTTATGCGGATATTAAGGTGATACTGCCATTGCTAGTGGCTACTGTCGCTTTGGTCGCCGCAGCGGTGATTGTTGCCTTTCGCTGGAAGAATAGTGAGTTCAATTTAATGCAATTACATATTGCTTCTCAGATCTTTCTCGTAAAATTATCTTTATTTTATAAACATTGTATTATAAATAAATATTATAAATTTTATATTTAAATAGTTATTTTAGTATTTCTTCCGCTTCTCTCAATTATTTTTATATATCTTTTGATATTTAAATAAATATTTAATTTGTATAATAAAGAAGGATTAACGTATTTATCAGGATACTTGGGAGGTCAAATGCAACGGCCGATGAAAGAGTCGCAAGAGAATCAACAGAATGCGGAGACACAGCGAGAACGTTATTATGCCACGATTCATAAAGTGGCATTACAACAAGCGGCAAATACGGGTGCGGGGCCCGACAAGATTCCAGGTGAACCTTTGTTACGATATGGACAACTACCAGGTTTGGTACTATAATTACTGTTGCGCAGGTACGAGTCGGCTTTAGCGCCGCTCAACAGTAAAACAAGACTGCTTAAAGAAATAAATTTTATTTAAAATTTTTTTATCTTACTTAAAATTTTTTTTTTAATTTTGTTAAAAAAATTTCTTTTTTAATTTTTTAAAAGAGTGTCTATCATATTACTCGTTTCTAAAGCACAGAATTAATTAATTTAAATTGAAAAAAATCTCTTTAATATTCTTCAACCAGTCTTAAAAATGAAAAATAAAAATTAGTGTCTTAGTGTAATAAGAAATAATATTATCAAATTGAAAGATAAAACAATTTTGTGCGTTTTCGTTCGTGAATATGAGATCGAAACGGATGAACGACTGATACAGTTAACCCGACGCGATTTGAAAGGTAGGCAATGCCTCTGATGGGTTACAGAGACAGCGGAGGACATTTCGCCGTACGCTACGTTCCAGCTTTCGGAGGGTGGCGGGGGAAGCCTGGCAGGATTGGGCGCATTGGGCGGATGGGGAGGCGGGGGGGAAGCCACAGCGGCCGGTCTCCACCCGAACAACACTCTTCTACACAGCTTCATGTATCACGAGCACGCCATGACCGAAGGGTGCGCGAGCCCTCCACCGGCGGCGACGGTATACGCCTCTTTCTTTCACTAGAATTTTATTTATTACTTGATTCAGTTTTGAAATTCATTGTACAAATGTCATTATACATGCGTTTGTGGAATATGGAATACTATATGTATACTTTATTAATTATTAATAAACTATTAATTCTTATTAAATATATTAAACTATTAAATTATATTATATTTACATATATATGAAATCACATACTTATATTATTTTTAATTTGTATAAATTGTAAATAATACAACTTTTAATTAACAATGCATAACTCGATTGGAAATTAGAACTGATTTAGAATTCTCTTATAAATTGTATTTTGCACACAAAGATCCAATCTGTGCAGAGCATGAAGCGGCAACAGAGAAAGCAGCAAACCCCAGGCGATGTCGAGAGCGACGAGAGCGAATCTGACCCGGACCAACTGATAAGCTCGCGCACGGAATCGTCGAATCAGCTGGACGCTGGAAAATTAAAACATAGTACGTTCTAATATGAGATTTATTCAAATCTCAACTAATCGATATTCTAATGCACTGTCGTTTCAGTTCGCGCGGTCTCGGACTTTATTTATCACGGCACGTCGAGCACGTCTTCGGACATTTCTCCAATGTCCGAACAGAAGTCACTGCCACGGAGGGGGCGATCAAGGTAACGAATAAAATAACAAAATGTATAAATTAATATTTATTAATCAATTCCACTTTGTCGTAATTTTCCAATTTCTAATCTCTCAGATCAATGTTAAAATATACAAAAATGCAATTTGAGTGATTTCTGAGTCACCTTTGCCAATGCGCATTTGCATTGTTTAAATCAAATTTTAAAAATCATGCAGTTAATAAAATTATTAAAAATTATATTAAAAGTTATTACACTAAGTTAATTAGGCGCGTATCTCTCTCTCTTTCTCTCATTTAATCACTTGATTAATCCTTACTGCAAAACGTTCATTCACAACATCCATCAGTAAGCTTGTTTCTTTTGGCTATCTCGTAAGATGGCATGTTCCCAGCAGGAGCTCTCTACGCACACTACTACCGCCGATCTCGGTCGCGGAGACCGCGTTCGTCGGCAGCAATCAGGGAGCAGTTGTACCCACGCCGGGGAACGGAGACCGACCGGAGCTCAGCGAGGCCGAGTGCGACATCGACTCTCTGAAGAAGCTGAAACTGGGGCTGCGAAGCTCTTTGTGGTCGCGGCCAAGCACTCAGAATAATCCCTCCTCGGATTACTCCATCGCCGTTTAATCTGTCCCCGAATGTCACAATCCCCACGGTAGCACCCCTTTTTCTCTTAACCCCATGGGCCAAAGATTAGGTAAATTGATCTCTTCCCTTCGTGTCTCGTCAAGAATTTCCTCGTGGCCATTCGTAGGGCCAATCGACTGCCACGTCTTCTGTCGACGATAGGTAAATTACGTTCTGCTCGTTAATGATGATCGAGGGAGAGGCGTGCATAAATAAGATCGGGAAGGATCGAGACAACGAAGATGGACGATTATAGAGGAACACACGTGTGTGCATATAAAATCAGGTAGAAGATGATTTCTTGCCAGAGATGAAAAATCTTAATTCCCTGAAATATTTAAATTATATTATTATTTTACAATATAAAAATAAGTTTTCGCATTGCAGATATTAACTTTTGCAATATTTAATCAACGATATACTTATAAGCTATATATAATGACAGAACGCGACACTATAAGACCTATTCTTCTATAAACGTGTGTCTTCGTTGATCGAGCCGAGAGAACTAGTCGAAAGTATCTATAAGTACGTGCTTCTCCTCTTCCTTGTCTATGACGCGACGTGAGATAATACACATGCGTGGAATGCGTGAAGTGTGTGAGTGAGTCCAAGTCCGAATGCGTGGATGATCGTCGAATCGCGTGTACGAATGCGTGCCAAAACGACAATTTGCTCAGACCGCTGCGAGTCGTTTCGCCGGCGGGTGATCCATTCGAGACCAAAGACTTAATCGTATGTACGAACAGAGCATGGGAAAATACTTCGCGTATCATGAACAAGACAGGTAACAGGCTGCATCTTCCATCCCGAGAAGTTCTTTTTTTTATTTATGTCAGTTTTTTTTATTTTTCTTCGTCTTATTTAATCTTTTTAATAATTTCTATTATTACAAAACGGATTATCGAAAAATTATAACAATTATTGTAATTATTACAAAATTTTATACATATTATGATATTACTTATTTATATACATATTTATATATACATATTATGATATTACTTAAGGTGAATATATTTCACTTGCAATTGATTGTGAGACTAAGATTTAATTTATTTATATTTATATGAAAATTTGTTATTGAAATGGGATAATTGTTATGATACGTTATTGACTATTTGCTTATCATTTTACTTCTTATTATATAGATACTAATTTACCCCGCTATTGATATTATTTGATATTATTATAATTTCGTTATTTTCATAATTTAATTTTTCTAATGTCTAAATTTTGTTTATATTATTAACATTTAATAAGTTTTCCTTTTTGTTTCTCATATATACAAAGCAGCTCGAAACTGTCGCTATTCTGGAAATCATGCTCATCTTGTATTCGGTGCGCGCATGTTATTAAAAATTGGGATGAGAACGAATAGGAAAGGAGAAGAGACCGGACTTCCAAGTCTCCAAAAAGCGGATCGTTGACGGTTCGGCTCTGTTGCATTGTAAAGTTTCGAAGCTAATCGTAGCACAATCTCATTTTTCTGCTCTGTATAAATTTCGGCCAAGGCATTTGAAGGAGAGCCGCGGCTTTCTCCTTCTTCAGATCTCTCTTCTAATGTCGTGCACCTTCGAGACTTTGTGATCCGACGCGACCAATTTTACTATTGCAATAAGTCGTACCAACAGAACGACTTTCCTTTTCAGACTGAACTCGAAAGTACTATGAAAAATTGCCATTAGAATTAATTAATTACGCGTGCATCCTACCGCGTCGCGAGCTTCCAATATTTCCACGACACTGCCATTCCGCAGACTACTTACCGCGACTTTAAAGGATCTAATTCAGATCACTTTATGTACTCCGGAATGAAAAAAAAAAAGAAACATGTTTTTGTAACTTTTACCAAGACGTGGTAACGTTTTTAATGTAAAAAAAACCTGTTTGACCCATTTTCTCTCGCCGACAAACGTCGTTTTAAATAATTAAGTATACTATACAATATTGTATATTCGGATATCTGTGATGGCGTACGTACTTCCACTTTCTAGTTTATTTCAGCGCGAAGGAAGCTGCTCCGAATTTACAGTACATTATCGTATAAAACGATAATAATTTTAATCTTGTGGAAAAAAAAGAAGTAGAAATCCTAATAGCACACTTTATCCGAAATACATCCCGAGGATATCCTTAGAATGTTCAAAGGACATACGGACGTCCTCAAGACATTCCTTGGAGGTCTGTGCTGTTAGGGAAGAGATTAAGAAATTCTAGTTATGCCATAATATTAAGGAATGTTTAGAATTTTGAGTTTTATTGCGAGATAATGTCAATAAGTTAAGAAAAGCTGTGCGCGACACTACGAAGACGAGGCCGTAGATAATACATATGTAGAATACAATATGTTTGAGTACACGGGCATCAAGACGCGCGCATACAAGCGCGTTCGTTAATGTATATAAGGGAAGCACGTCAATCAAACTCGTAGTGTTCGATTAAATTCGATAGAGCAATCTTCGAAGAGGATGAAGTGCGATTCACCGTTTTGCTCTTGGTGTGATTGCCGGGACATTTTCGTCGATACGATTTTTGTACATTTTTCTTGCGTCATGGACCGGCCGAGTTCTGTCAATATATCTTATATAACCTTTCAGAGGGACCAGTTAATTCTCTTCGTTGTCGTAATTGTGTGAGAAGCTAATAAAAAGTATTTAACGATTAATCAACGATCTCGAACAAATCTGATCAACGAATTTTTTACTATACAATTTTTCACAAAGCTAATTTGGAATAAAATACGATCTCATCTCTCGTCATTTATCCGATTAAAATTTGTTACTTTAAAATCTCGTCGTGATAAGGTACTTTTGGATTGGTTTATCGGATTTTTATACATTGCATCGCGAGTAATTACACGGTCCTCGAAGGATGATGCAGTGACACAACTCGGTGCATCCCCCGTTACCATTTGCGATAATCCGTGCAGTTCGGAGAATATACTTTAATTGTTGCATTTATATGGATGGCGGAGGCGAGCGAACAAATCAAATGCACAATTGTTATTGTAACTACGATTAATTATGTCATTGTAGGGAGAGAAAGCGCTTATGTGGCGCGAATGTGGCGTGGACGGTCCAATCGTGGCGCGAGATTGCGCAAAAAGAGTCATCGTAAGAGCTCCATAAAGTGAAGAAGCTCGAAAATTCTTTCTCCGTTCTGCGATCGGAGATTGTATGATTAAAACGAATTGTCGATTAAATTTAAATAAACTGTATTAAATCTGTGGTACGACATTTCGATGCATTGTGTCGATCGTAGAATCGATTAAATAAATTGATATCGTGTAAAATAAACATAGGATCGATTTTCTGGGCCAACCTTATAAGATATTTGGTAAACATGAAAATTTATATTTATGTTTTTGTGCAATACGAATTTCTTGATTAACGATCGATATAATCGAACGATTCGCAGTCTATTGACTATTTTAATATCCCGTAAGCTCCGAAAACGTGGAGTCCAAATCGTCGCAGATGTATTTGTATTTTTCCTTTTCTTTTAGTAGATAATCTAAAACGTAAACAACAATTTATTAATAACAATTGATATCATTTTAATAAGTTTGGAAATTTAAAATCTATAAAAAATGCATAATACGATTAGTACCTTCCCTCTTGTCCATTTCTTTCGTGAATATCTTGACAGTTTTCTCAGCGATAATGGCACGCTTTTCAGCAGCTTTCAATTTTACTTTTAATTCCTTTAACTGTGCTTTGAATTCTTCCACCCTTTGATTAGCCTGCAACAAACAATCTCTTTATGCAGTCTTAATTTTTTAAATATGAAAAATATAAATTATTAATATGAAAAAATGTCTACTTTCTTTTCGGACACCTCCAAGGACTTGAATATATTGCCAACGATGAATAACTCATCCTCCCTCTCGAGAATTTTCCTATAAAATATAACGTCAAACATGTTAAAATCTTTTAAGCTTAAGTAATTTAAATAAAAAAGCAATATTAAGTAAAAACTTTTTTCAATAAATTTTTTACAATATTTTAAGGATGCTCATTAGCTTTCATTGTTAATTTATTGCTTGTCAATTTAATTTTATGATATTACGTAATCCAGCTTTAATTTAGGAAATAAATTGTGTTTCAAGGTCAACAAATAATATCAATGCGCAATTTGCTTGAACTAGAAATTATAAAATTCACACAAAAATATTATTCAGCAAAGTCGTCTTTAACCGAATGTGGTCTTCTTTGATTAAAAGAAATTTTTCTATGCATACGAATAAATAGGTAGAAACTTTTCATGCAAAAGTAAAACATCTTAGAAAGTAGGATATGTTGTGAAACATTCCTGTTTAAACTGAAAATAGAGAAGTAAGAAAGGATTCAACAGAAAAGAACGTAATCGCTATATTTAGAGAGTCGCGTACGCCTCGCTCGATTTAACTCTTTCTTCCGCCGCTTCCAGCTCGTCTTCAACGAATGCCAATTTTCTCGAAATCTCATCCGATTTCGTGTCGGCGTCTTCAGCAATAAGTCTCGCTTCCTTCAGCTGCGCCATCAATTGATCCATCCTCTCTTCATCCTGTTTGCTCCTGTTCTCTAGGACTTTGCAGATGCTGAGTATAAAGAATAATTTTATGATTATAAGCTTATCATATATTTCTTATTAAAAAATCGATAATGGTATTCATAAAAACTTAGTATCTACAGCGATTTTTATAATATTTATTAATATAAAATATTTTTTATATACCAGTAAAAAAAACATTTCATAATAAAAAATTGACAGAGTAAATTTTATGTAGAAATATACCGCTTTGCGTCTTCAGCAGTTTCTATGACTTGCGCGAGCTTTACTTGAGCCGACAAACGTCGCTCCTCTGACTTTTCTAAATTCTGCATGCATTGCTGCATTTTTCTATTAAGTACCGCCAGTTCCGATTGCGTCTGCAATTTTACAATTGACGTAAAGACAAATTGAATTTGGATGCACGTGATATATTTCTTCCAATTCACTAACCACAATGTAGACTCTCTCCTTTATCTCGAGATTCCTGTTTGACTTTATAAGTTGGGCCTTACTCACTTCCAAATCATGCTCCATTTGCATTAACTTTTTGGCCAATTCACGAACCTCATCCCTCAATTTTTCTTCCCTTCGATTTGCCTCCTTTGCCTGCTGGTCGCACAGGTCAGCTTTGTCCATTGCGAGATCTTTCTCAAGCTTTAGCGTTTGCAGCCGTTTTTTAATGGCATTCATGTTTTCGTTGGAAATTAATTAGAAATATTCTTTTTAATCAACGACGTTAATAGAAATTTTAATAGATAAATTGTTGCTTTCAAGCGAATTATTTTAATAATTGTATTAAGTCGCAAGAATTAGATTTTTATTATACTTAATTGATTTTATTGTGTGGCAAAGATTTTTATAATTTTTTATATTTTCAATTTACGATAATTATTTTTACGTTTTATATTCTTTAATTGCAATCAAGAATGTTTTTTTAAAAATGGTTCTGTATGAAACACTTTCACTTTGAAGTATCTTTTTGTTGCGCAAAAATGATAATTTTAAGCTTTACACTCTGTTAACAGAATTTTTAATTACTACAGAAACGAAGTATCAAAATGCAATGCCCGTGAGTTACTGTATTCAGTGACCGACGGGGACAATGTTTTATAGGCTTAATGCAATGCAAAAGGACAAAAACAACAGTCGCTTTAGTTAGGCTCAAACGAATTCTTGGACTTCTTAAAACAGTGATGCCCATGATCGTTGCCGATCGCAGATAAATTGGTCGACAAATATTTACTTTGCGTTATATTTGTTTAACAATTACTATTAAAAATGGATTTCAAAAGCACATGCTATATATATTTTATAATTTAAAATAACAGACATATCTTTGAATTTACTATACGATTTAGAATTGTATTATAACATTTTTTACAATATCTTTAATGCGTAAATGTTAATATTCACACAATTTCAATTTCGTAGTTATATCTTTCGTCAATCTCATCATGTTATAAATATATTTAACATTAAAGAAATATTAATAATAATAATAAAAACTAATTTAATTAATAATAATTAATAATTAATTTCTCTAATATTATTAACAATGTTAATATTACTGAAAAGCAATATATTACTACTCACTTTTATCATTTATTTATTTAGTCATTTTTGAAAACTTTATTCTATAGTCTATTGACAGCACGATGCATAAAATAATGAAAACTCATTAGAGAATATGTGATCTGTTTATTGAAAATACAGATTTTACATTAAATGTAGAAAGGATGCACGATATCGTGGTCTCGCTCGCGCGTACGACACTAAATCCCTCCAATATCTCTGAAAGAAAAAGAAATAGACGAAATTTTGAACAACACCTTCGAGCAACACAGCAAATACGAGCGACCGTGAACTAGTTGCCGATCTTGGTAAGGTATTGCATAAAGCGAAGCAATTATAGTAACAACCCGCATTGCATTGCCTTGTCTATCAGTAGATTATTGCGCGAAGCGAGTTATTTCTAATATCATTCACGGCACTTCATAAGGCAAAACAAATCGGTATTGCGATATAAGCGGCATTTAGCATAACGAGCTGAACTAAAAAATGAATAGCAATAAATAGCGAATAAGCGGAGGGAAGCAGCAGCAGTTAAAAGTAATAACGAGAGTCAAATCGAATTCATTCGCAGGATTTTAGTATCCTGTCATGTCGGCAAACGTCGCGTCCATATCGTCGCAGACCGCCTTGTACTTTTCCTTCTCTTCTCTGAGTTCATCTAAAACAAGCAATTTCTCAATGATATAGAAAAGAAAAAATAGAAATATTATTATTTTAATTTACCAAAAATACTGATTGAATTTACTGATTAAAAATAAAAGCTTCGAGAGAGGTTCTTACCTTCTTTCATATCCACTTCCTTTAGTAAAGCTTTCACCGTCCTTTCAGCAGTGATTGCGCGTTTTTCCGCTTCCTTCAATTTCTTTTTCGAGGATTTCAGCTGTAACTTAAAGTCTTCTACTCGTTGGTTCGCCTAAAATCAAAATAATGGAAAAGTGCCGTTGCGACTAATTATTATCACAGCATATTATATTACGTCACCTTTTCTTCGGACACTTCGAGGGACTTCACGATATTCTGTACGATGAAGAGTTCATCCTCACGTTCCACGATTTTACATACATATATATATATATATGTATAATAATGTACACATTATATATATAATATATTATATAAATAAAACTATATATATAATACAATTATTATACATACGCCTCACTAGTCTTCACTCTTTCTTCAGCAGCTTCTAATTCTTCCTCCACGAACTGCAATTTTTTGGCTATTTCATCAGATTTCGCATCGGCGTCTTCGGCGATTAATCTAGCATCCTTTAATTCCGACATTAACTTCTCCATACGTTCCTCGTCCAAACGACTCCTGTCTGCCAAAACGTTACACATTCTGTATATAAAAAAAGATACAGCATTATTGCTTTGTCGAATCCTGCTTTATATAATTTACCTATTTATTTTATGTATGTGCATAACATTTGTACCCCGTAGAAATAATTAAGAAATTAGTCAAATCGATTTCAATTAACGTCCACAGCACTATATAATCAATCAATGTCATTCGATCAGTCATTTTTGGCTGAATAAAACATGAAAATCTGATGACAATAAATTTATAAACCTCAATGCATCGTCCGCAAGTTCGGTCGCACGTGCTAGTTTTATCGTAGCGGAAAGACGTAGTTCCTCCTTTTTGGTCAAACTCGCTTCGATCTCTTGCACTTTCTTCGTTAAAACGGTACGATCTTGTTCAGCCTGTACAACACGATTAATTGATACGTGATAAAAGATTCTTTAAATACGTGTGTATTGGAACTTAAAATACTGATTGTTACAGCTTCTTTGATAGCTTCTTATAATTATAAAGTTTCATTAGTTGAGATTCAATAGGACATATTATCTTAGAAAATTGTTTTCATTGTAGAACTTGTTGTCACAAATTTATGAAAAAGAAATTCGGTTTGTGGAAGATCCTAGAAAATCTATTCATATTAATCATTACATACTTTAGACCAAGATTTCTCGCACTGTTCTAGATCGGCAGTAGATTGCTCTAAGTTATCTTTAGTGACAGTATAATCTCGTTCCAATTGCGACAATCGCTTCTGTAGATCGCTGAGGTCATCGTTCAGCCTGTCTGCTCTTATATTCTCCTGTTTCGCTTTCGTCTCATTGACTTCGACCTTTTCGCTTGCGGCATCCATCTCAAGCTTCAGCGCCGCAATTTTCTTCTTGATCGCCTCCATCGTAATGTACGATTTTGGATTTTCCTCTTATCAGTTATTCTGGATATTACATTTATCTCGTAAAGCTAAAGTGCAATTTTAGACGATGAAAGATGGAAATTACGCTAATAAATGCGCGAGCAGAGCAGATAAAATTCATAAATCGTGCACTTACACAGAAAGAATGATTTTGTCGAAGTATTTAAAAATTTAAGTACAGATCTGAAAATTTTGTTGGGCCATCAAAATAAAATCATGGAGGAAATTCAAGCAGGATGAGCAATGCTGCAACAAGTTTTGACAATCTAGTAACTAGCTTGAGCATCTTATATGATTACTTTGACAGTTCAACAAAATTATTTTCAAAAATTAAAAAAACAAAGAACATGAAAAACCACAGCACAGGTTGTCGGTTGTGATGATTAAAATTTTATTCAATAATGAATTATTCAAGCGTTAATCAATACCCATATCAATAAATAAGCGATTAAACGTTTCGGCCACAATCTGGCCATCTTCAGTAATAAAACATCCTCTCAAAACGCAAAAATTTTTTACATTCAGTCGAAATAAGTACATCGGTCGTATGTTAAATTTCTTCTTTCGAAAGTTTCTCTTGGTATATAAATAGTGGTAAAATACATGATAAGACCAGTAACAACACACAATGTCACGACTAAAATTTAATTGTGCGAAAGTAATGTCTGAGATCTACCGCTTCGTTTTTTGACTGTAAAACAGGTAACGCATTTGCTCTTTATTTTTCGAGTATAAGAGATTAACGTAATTATAAAATTTATTCTGATTAGAATCTGGAAATTCATGTTCTACTTTATTCTGTCATATAAGCTGGAGTTATAATACTGCCGCACGATCATCGTCACACTGATAAGAACACTTTTAATCTATTTTAACATACGACCGATGTACTTATTTCGACTGAATGTAAAAAATTTTTGCGTTTTGAGAAGATGTTTTATTACTGAAGATGGCCAGATTGTGGCCGAAACGTTTAATCGCTTATTTATTGATATGGATATTGATTAACGCTTGAATAATTCATTATTGAATAAAGTTTTAATCATCACAACCGACAACCTGTGCTGTGGTTTTTCATGTTCTTTGTTTTTTTAATTTTTAAAATTATAACCACTTTTATTTTAGACATTTTAAAATTATTTTCAAATTTGTCAAAAATTTAGTTATAAATTTTTAGCTACTTCAACTACCGTTCTTTCTATATAATTAAAATACGAATGTTTTAATTGATTCTAATCAAATTCTAAACAAATATCTTAATTATTCGCAGTGAGCAAATCCGTACCTTAAATATAGTGACTAAAAGAAGGACGACAAGAGTGGTGCAATCACAAGAACTTCGATGTTACTCGCCGTGAGATTTCACCCCGTCATTCAACGCTCAATGTATTTACATATACCACCCTATTAATCATCACCCGTTTAATATAAATTTTACACGGTGATACTGGATGAGCAGAGGAATGCCTATTAAAGAGGACACTTACTGTGATCGTGACGATGATCCGCGGGGAGAATGCACAACCGGATGCCTTCGACAGCTAAGCTAAAATAAAACGAAACCGATTTCGGCGGCGGTGCCGACCACCTTCCCGAACTCCCCGATCCAATCCAATTCTATAATTGCTTGGGGATTTTGGCTATCGTCCCGAAACTTACCCTCCGCCGTCGTCACCGCGGCTGCCTACGAAACGCGATATCCGCTCGTTCCCATACTATTCTCGGCCCTCGAAAAGAATCTCGTTCCTGTTTTCTGCCGACCACGTAATCAACACCCATAGTAAACAGCCTGACCGATCCTATCGTCACAATGATAGCCGCAATCGACATTAAGAATCATTCAAATGTCAATCGGCGTGGACCCACTTCGAATCTTCCCGCTGATCAAAGCCTTGCCTAT